AATTTTAGATGGGATTATCTATAAATTAAAGAAAAAGAGTGACAATGATCCTAATTTTATCTAAAACTTAGGTGAAGTGATTATTTTATTATCATGGTTATTACTAAAAGTTAAATTATATTTATTTCTAAAAATTGATCGAATACTAATGATTTTATTATTAACTAAGCAAATTGTCAAAAAGTGTAATTTATTTATAAAAGTTCTAATGTGAGAAATTAACTAAAAAGGTTGTTTTTATTTTATTATACTCCTAGAAAGTTTTAATATTAGATATAAACTATATAAAAGGTTTTTGCTATTTTTAAAAGATTAATTAAATAAAAAGATAAAGGGCTGGGTTAGTTAATAAAGATTATTAGTTTTTTTTTAAAAACTTAGTTAACTGATTAATTAAAAGGTTGAGTGGATTAAAAACTATTAAGAGAATAATAAGCAAAATGATTAGGGAGTGATTAACGATTAAGTATAGTGTATGTGGTTTGTGTGTGATGAAAAGTGAAACGACAATAATAGTTTGCAGAAACGAAAAGAAAAACGAAACAAAAATGATGCGCGGAGAAGCCCTAGGTTCCCCCCTTTTTCGTCTCTCTCGATGCGAATCCGGTCCATCGTTCTCCCTCTCCTTGTTCATTCTCGCCTCTTTCCCCGTTTTAAACCTGCAACAACATCAAAGCATCAATGGCTCAAGAAATTTTTAACACGCATGAAGGTTTTACCGTGAATTGGGAGTGGCGGCTGGAGATGAGGTTTCGTCTGTTGATTTATGCTTGTGGCGGTCGGAGACAATCTGGTGAACTGAGAAGATAAGTTTTCCTTGCTCCAATTCTTAGGTTACGAATTTTAAGGTTTTTTGCGGTAACTTTTGGTTTATTACGATAGGTTTTTTTCACCTTTCTCTCCTTCTACTAGCCTCCTTATATAGGCTTCTGAACGAAAAACACCTTGATTGCTGTCTTGAATATGGATTTAGGTTTTCCTATTTGAAACTTTCCCTTTTCGGTGATGGTAGTAATGACTTGTTAATTGACATTTCAATCTTTGATTTTGTGATTCAATTTGAGATTGTATTTTATTTGTTTTCTGAATAGCATCTTCTATCTTTCCCAGGGATATTCTCTAACGGTTATTTTTTGCTGACTCTGAGTGTGACCTGGCAGGTGTAGGTGGCAATGGTTTTGGGCCAGAAGACGGGTTAGCAGCCAAGAAAGAAAATTCGTGCTTGATGCGTCTGGCGGGAACTTCTATGAAAAAGAAAGCTGGTGGGGAAGAGTAGCAATTGCAAGCTGAACGCAGAGTATATTTTTTCAATTCAATCTTCGTTCCTATGTTTCCTCTTCAAACTGATACATATTTGAACCTCTTCCCTTTCACGTGTCTGACGATTATGTTGTTGTTGCCGCGACTGATATATTTGGTGTTTGCAGCTATCTAGTATGTGAGGGAGGTTTTGGAATATATCTCTTCGTTTCAGCCTAATTTTTGGAATATATCACTGCATCTGGTTACATATCACCAAGGACCGGAAGGTTTTATTCCTTGCTTGATCCAACATATGCCAAGGATCACATTCCAATCATTGCTTCTGTCTCTGAACATCAGCCTACTGCTTGGTCATCCTTCATGTTTGATTTCCATATGTTGTTGTTCCTTTTCCCTGCTGGGCTCTATTTTTGCTTCAAGCGCTTGTCAGATGTCGCGATCTTCATAGTTATGTATGGTCTTACAAGCATGTACTTTGCTGGTGTTATGGTTCGATTAATTCTTGTTGCTACACCTGTTGTATGCCTCATTAGTGCTATTGTAGTTTCTGCCTCTGTGAAGAATTTGACTCGGGTTGTGCGAGCAAAAGGGCAAACCTTACAAAGTGGTTCTGGTAAAGGAACTAGTGCTTCAAAAGGTTCTTTTAAGGGTGTAATTGATAACTCACAGCCTTTCCAAAAGAATTGTGTTATTGTGTCACTTCTCGGTGCTTTTTATCTCCTCAATAGATATGTTATTCATTGTACCTGGGTTACATCCGAGGCATACTCATCTCCCTCAATTGTCTTGGCTGCAAGAGGTACCCACGGCCGGAGGGTTATATTTGACGGTTGTCGTGAGGCTTACTTTTGGCTTCGCCAGAACACTGCACCAGATGCCAAGGTGATGTCGTGGTGGGATTATGGTTATCAAATCATGGCCATGGGAAAAAGAACAGTTATTGTTGGCAATAACACCTGGAACAAAACACACATAGGAACTGTTGGGCGTGCAATGTCATCTTGTGAGGATGAGGCGTATGACATAATGAGATCGCTTGATGTTGACTATGTATTAGTCGTGTTTGGTGGTGTTACTGGTTACTCCTCTGATGATATTAATAAATTTCTATGGATGGCGAGAATTGGCGGTGGAGGCGGGTTGAACTTCTGTTGTGGCATAGCACTTCTACTGTTGTAGTAATTGGTCCATCTGGAGTCTTAATAATCATGAATTTGTCTCGTGATGACCATGAACTTGTCTTGTAATTATCCTAAACTTGTTTTGTAATTTGATTTGAAATGAGTTGTTAATATTGATCTACTTAAATCCCACTGGTATTTTAACAGATCTGGAACCCGAAGCATTGCTATCAATCCCATAACATGTTCTACTTAATAGCAGCAGAGTTGTCTTGTTTTGTTTATTAATACTTTGGATTGTGAATCCTGCCATCCTTATCTCCAAATATTTTCTGTCTCCCGTGGGCTTGTAAACACATTGATATCCAAGTTGGATCTACAAAGAATAAGAACCAAAATAACGGAAAACCGGGGTCTTGACACCATATCCCATAGCACCACTTGATTAAATTGCAGATGCTAAATTTAAAGCCCAAATGAACGGTTTTCATGCCTTAAATCCAAATTCTTCTTCGCTTTCAATTGATGATTTTGATAGAGAGATAACTAACAACCTTGACTTATAAGATACCAAATCTTGATCTAGATGTAATCGGAAAGCGCATCCAAAGATGTCTTTGGTGTAATGGTCCAATAATAGCTCAAGAGTGAAAGTAATGTTAGTAATAAAATAGATAACATAATAATAAATATGATAGAAACAAATATAATATTAGTAATAATAGTCGCAAAAACATAAATATTAAAATAAAGTCAAATAATAGAAAAATGCGCAAAACGAGGTGGCATCTTAAGGTCAAAAATTAGGGTGCGACAGTCACCAATAGAGAAGAAGACATACCCTCCATAGTCCAGATTCCAAGAAAGATCACAAGGGAAGAATTAACTCAGCTAATTCCCTTTGAATGGATAACCAACTATGAGAGACTTCATGTTGACAGAAGACCTATCCAATCTCAAGAGGCTACTTTCAGGAGATCTGTTGACAAAACAGTCAAGACGATCTTTAAGAAAACAGACGAAGGATCAACCAGATCTCAAAGAAGATTGGTGTCCCGTCTATGCTGTTACAACAGAGGGAAAACCTATCTACACCGATAAAATAGATGGCCACTTCATTTGGGATGTTGATCTAACAAGATGTGACCCAGATTGTGACTGCTGGATGCACGATGATGATATTGACTGAGATATCATTCTTCCTAAAACAAAGAAAAAGGGAATGTGCAAACCCTCGCCACCTCCTAAAAGGAGATTTGATCCAGACAATGGGCCATGGGTAGGAATCCATGGAAAAAAGAAACCCCTCTGTATCTACGAGGAAGGACTAAAAATCCTCAGGAGAGAAGGATTGTTACCACCTGATGATCCGAATCTTATTACATGGTCACCAACAGACCATTGTAAACCGTTACATCCCTTAGCTGTTGCTCAGCCAATTCCTTGCTTTATGTATTCAACCACGACTTCAGAGTACGAACGACAATCTCCGGCTTTGGAAAGAAAGATGGATCCAGTCACAGGCAGAACATCCAAACCCTTCATTCATCCGAGTGAAGTCTAGCCGGATGGGAAGCTTAAACCTTTAACTCAGACTGAGGAAGTTCTGAATTGGAAATCTGAAAATATGGTTTCTCAAAATGAAATTCTTCAAAACCTTGACAAAAAGGTAGATAAGATCGCTGAAAAAATAGACGAGACAGATGAAGATCTCAAGGTTTTATCCCAAAAAATGCAGAAACATTACAGAAGCTTGAAAGCCCAAGTATCCCAGCTAGATCGGGATTTGTGGCAGATGTTAGAAGAAAGAGCTTTTGGTAAAACATTTGACCAAAAGGAAAGAGAAATCAGAAGTCTACAAAGCTAAGTAAAAGAGATAGATGGTTTCATAAGAGCCTCTCATGAAAGAAAGCCCAAACCGGTTGAAAACTCTTTCTTGGATCCTCCTACTTTTCCTACATATTTCAAACGACCAGAAAGGCCTTCTCCTTTCTACCCTGCTTATGTTTCATCACCATCAGACCCAGTTAAATATATACCAACAGCCTACAGACCAAGATCTTCCAGAACTACCACTACCTCAACCTCCAAAACAAAGGGGGAAGCTGTCTGCTTAAGTGCTTCATCCTCAGACTCTCAAGATATCCCTGAAACACCCCCTTCAAAAATCCAAAAGGTAGAAGAAATTCCTAATAAAAGCTTCCAAGCCATGGCAATCACTACAAATCATGAATCTCCTCAGAAAGATCACTATGAACCATCAAAACAAGAGGGAGACGAGTCCTTCTCAGATGATGACAACAACTCTGATCCAGAATCATCTTCAGATGAGACACCAAGATCTTTTTCAACTAAATCAGGATCTGAAGACAACTATTTTCCAAGACTCTTCATGACGAATGTAAAAGAGGAAGATCCTTTTTTGAAGAAGAATCCCCTGAGGAAACTCTTGTCCCTGAAAGGACTAAACCAAACGGAGGTCCTTGGTTCACTTTTGATGATATACCACCTAGCCGCTGGAGAAAAAGACTGCTGGAATTTGGAGCTTGGCTTGACACCCAAATGATGAAAACAAGTGCAGATAGCTATAAGATCATTGAAGAATTTTGCTATAGAATGACGGGCACGATGAAACAATGGTATCACAATCTTGGAGCTTTCAAACAAGATGAGTTACATCGTCTAGAAACTACAGCTAGTGTTCTTGGGGTCCTTCACCGAGAATTTATCGGTGATATGGAAATATTTGATAGGAAAAATAGACAAGAATTCTTTGAGATGAAGTGTTGTTCTCTCAAGACAAAAGACCTCGACAGGCATTATCATAGGATGGCACAGAGGTATTATGTCCTTAATGGGTACAATGACCCAAGTCTCAAGAATACCTATGTATCCTCTCTACCACAAGAACTTCAGCCAAAAATTCATAGAATGTTAGCTACAGCACAAAAGGATATTAAAACTATGAGTCTCGGCCAGATTCACCAGGTGACCTTAGAAGCACTTAAAAAGCTTTGCAGTTTTCATCATCAATTTTCTGAAGTTATAGAACAAAAGTCAAAGTTCACCCAAGCATGTAAGAAACCCTACCTGGAGATTAAGTGTAAAGACAAAAGGTGTGGTTGTTCAACAAAAAAGAAACATAAAAAATACACCAAACCTCACAGGATCTTCAAGGGAAAGAAAAGAAAGAATATGAAGCTCTTTAGAAGAAAACCTTTCAGAGGAAAGGGGAAAAATCGGAGATGCTTTATTTGTGGGAAAAAAGGGCATTTCGCAAAAGAATGTCCCAATAACACCGATAAAGCCGCAAAATTGATTAACTTTCTTCAACCTCTAGAAGGAGACTCAGAATCTTTGTATTCTGAACAAAGCTCTGCTGATGAAGAAACAGTTTTTGCCCTTCAAAACTCCTCATCCGATAAAGCATCATCCTCGGAGTCCGAAGATGACAGATATCTATCGGTTTACTCCATCAAAGAGATGGGCAGTTCTCTTCCTACTACACCACTTCCTTGTGTTGAAGTCCATATTCTCGCAACAAAGTTTTCCCGTCCGAAGAAAGTTATAGCTTATATGGACACTGGGGCCCAGATTACCATGATGAATCCCAACATTCTCCCTCCAGAATCATGGGTGACACATGTTGCATACTTTGTAGCAGCAGATGGAAAAGTTTTCAAGACAAATCTAATGACCAAGGAGAAAATAGGAATTAAATTCTTCCTAGACTTCATAGTCTGGACCAAGGTCATTCGCAGTAATCTTCCAAACAAAGATATTTTGGTAGGAATGGATGTCTATTCAGCAGCAATTAAACTTCAAATTCTCCCCCACAGGAATCAAATTCAAAAGAGAATTCAAACCTTATTCTGGGATACTAAAACTATATTCACTTTCTAAGGTTCCTGCTGGCTATGAAGAAATCAAGTCCAATCTTCTCAGACTATGTGCAGATAGCCATGAGAAATTCCGCCACCCAAAACCTCTATGGAAGAATAAGGACTTCTTCGTTCAACTTCCCTTCAAGCAAAATGAAGATGTTAATCCAACCAAGGCCACTCATCCAGGGATGAACCCATCAGATTACGCCTTAGCTAGGGAAGAATACAACCAACTCCTCAAACAAGGTTTGATAGAACCCACCAAATCAGAATGGGCTTGCCAAGCATTCTATGTGGAAAAGAGATCTGAAAAGCTGAGGGGAAAAGAGGCTAGAAATTGATTACAAACCTCTAAATCATTTTCTCAAAGATGATAAATTTCCCATTCCAAAAGCTTCATCCTTAAATGTTTTCATCAAAGATGCCCAGATCTATTCTAAGTTCGACCTTAAGTCAGGATTTTGGCAATTGGGTATCGACCCTGAAGATCGCTATAAAACGACGTTATGCATTCCTAACGCCCAATACCAATGGACCATGTTACCATTTGGGCTTAAGGTAGCCCCATCACTCTTTCAAAAAGCCATGACTAGAATTTTTTAGCCCATCCTCAACAGTATCCTCATCTATATCGATGATGTGTTATTGTTCTCAAAAGATGAAAAAACCCATAAACAATTATTGGGCCAATTTCTTCAAATAGCCCAACAGCACGGAATGATGCTCTCTGAGAAGAAAAGTCAATTGGGACAAACAGAAATTGATTTCCTAGGGATGCATTTCTCCCAAGGGAAATATCAACCTCAGCCTCATATTGCCCAAGAACTATTAAACTTTCCTGATGAAAATCTCACAGTTAAGCAAATCCAACAATTTCTTGGTATAATTAATTATACCCGAGATTCCCTGCCGAAACTGGCGAGATACACGAGTCCTCTATCCCAAATGTTAAAGAAAAAACCTCCACCATGGGGAACACAACAAACTGAAGCAGTGAAAGCCTTAAAGAAAATCGCACAAACTCCTCTTGCTCTAAAAATCCCAGGGAACGGGAAAAGAATTCTACAGACCGATGCCAGTGATCATTATTGGGGAGCAGTCCTGATAGAAGAAATTGAAGGAAAAAGATACTATTGTGGCCATGCTAGTGGCCAATTCAAAGAAGCTGAAAAACACTACCACACCACCTACAAAGAAGCCCTCGCTGTAAAGATGGGGATCCAAAAATTTGACTTCCACCTAAGAGGCTATCAATTTGAAGTCCAGATGGACAATTCCTTTTTCCCTAAGATCCTTGAATTCAAAAATAAGATGCCTCCCGATCCTCAAACTCTTAGACTCAAAGATTGGTTTTCCAGATATGATTTCTCAGTAAGACATATCAAGGGAACCCAAAATCTAATCCCAGACCTACTATCCAGACCCATGAAACCCATCCAGATCATCACAGCCAAGCACACTTTCCCTCTAATTCTTATGGTCAAACCACTACCATCCCATGCATCCAAAACAAAGAATCTTCCTCCAGGAATAACGACCTCCTCTTCACTGTCCCAACTCAAGTAGTATGCCAGGAACAATCTTTTCTATTACATGACAAAAATCATAAGGAATAAATTACCAGATCATAGTCCTTATTTCCCAGATACACCTTTTCTTCTGCCAATTTTAATAAACCCAAATGCCAAATTCACAAAAAACCATTTGTGGTATATTTGGTGTGCCACTTGTCTGTATTATATGCCTGTTCTTATTCCCACTGAGGTCATGTATCAACATATAATGGATCCCGAAAAGCACAAGTATTTGATTTGGACCACTCTTGAATGGTATTCTCCATTACAATGGTGGAGAGATCAATTAAAACCAGTCATCGACGAGGTCAACGAACGAAGATTATCTTCAGAAGATATTGGTAAACTCAAGTCTGTTTTCTTTCTACACAGGCCCTATGTGATAGATCCTACAACTAAGTTGCTCAATTGTAAGAGTTATGTTCATCTATGGGAAACCATTAATGAATATTCTCCCAGTCTAAAAATCATAAGGGAATTACTTGAGTATGTTAACTACATCAATCTCTATGATCCAAAGAAACTCGATGATCATTCAACTTGCATACATCATGAAAAATTCAGAAGACCAGAAGTTGGAGAAAGCTAGGCTCAAGCCACACAACTGAAACCAGATTCTCCAATGGAAGCTGAATTCTCGGAAGGACAGGTGGAAGAAGCTAACACGAGGTTAGCGGATCACACCTACATGATGGAGGACATCTGGCAGTGTGAATCATCTCGTTATGGAGATTGCTTTTCTGACGAAAATTTATCTGATCAGAATATGTCCCCCTCTCATGAACCAATTTGCAAAGACTAAATGGACAAGTGTCCTTCAAAAATGAACAAGTGTCCTTCAAAGATCACAAGCATGCTTATAAATAGTAAACTATTGTCTTTTTGTGCAATAAGACTACAATAATGTAATCCATTAGAGATATGTGTGTCGGACTTTTAAAAAAGGCATTTATATAATATTATAAATGTCATGCTTGTAAATAGTGTTGCTTTTGTCTTATATGTACCTCCTTGGCTATAAAAGGAGGGATCTTGTAACATATTTTCATCAAGCAATCACAAATAAACTCTCTTGTGTGCTTAAGAACAAACATGTTCTAAAAATCTCTTCTTTCTCCCTCAAAGCTTTAGTTATTGTATTCATATCATAATTCCCCTCAATGATGCAAGTATGCTCTACACCTGCCTCTAAATGAGGATCTTGTGTATCAGAAAACATCCGACCATTGATCCATACTACGGTCCTTACTGTTATGAATTTCAGTTTTAATTGTTAGTCCATGTTATGCCTATGGTTGGCTATTGGGGGACGATACAATTAAGGCTGGGTTTCATGGCATGTAAGGCACCCGGACAGTTTGGTATCAGAGCCTAAACAGAAAAGAAGGGGTGCATATGGTATGAATATAATAAAGAGATTGAGTAAGGGAGAAATCACTTAAACATGGAAACACCATAACCAAACACTCAACCATCCCTCTATAATGATGACAGGACCTATGTGAGGGGCACTTTGATTTTCCAAGTGATTTCATTAATGATCATAATATGACAACTTAACTAGGGTATGGACAAATGGCCAATGTAATAAAGACCCATCGTCTACTAAGAGGGATCATGATGGAGCTTCTAATTTTTTATACCTACATCCAATCAGATAGATATGTTATGGATCTAAAGACCAAGTTGAACACCATGCGGGAGACGCTCACCTAGATCTATAAATTCATGAAGTTCACTACTAAAAAGCATGATGAGAAACACCACTCTTTAGACAAGTTGAAGGAGTCACAAAAGAAAATAGATGAAACAACCAAAAAGCTTGGAGATGAGATCTCCCAAGTGAAAGAAGAGTTTAAAACATTGAAAGAGCCAACATAGGCAGAGGCACTTCTTAAGAAAAAAACTAGAAGGGGATTTGGCTAATGCCAAGAGCGAGGTAGTTAATGCTTTTGATAAGACCTTTGAAAGAGCCAAATCACAAGTATCTCACCTCTACCAATACCTAAATTTGAGCGAGCTTGACTTGTTCAAAATTTTGAAGGAAGGTCAATTGGTGGATAACGAGGATGAGTCAGTTTAGTAAGTAGTCCTCTCCCCTGAAGAGCAGAATACCAACATCCCAGAGACCGATATTGTTAGTAAGGATGGGGTCGCTCACGAAGAAGGCGAGTCCACCCTGTCTAACTCTTAGGCCTTTGTTTTGTTGTTGTAATTCGGCCTCTATGAAATCCTTCTATATTTTTATAATTTACTTGTACTGTTACCATTTAGAGGCATTTTTTTGTAATATTTTTCTTTAAGGTTTTTAAGTAAAAATGTGTTTGCGTTTGGGTAGTATGTTTACCAAGCCTTAGTATTATTGCTTTTCTATTATTTGTAGGATCCTTAAGCCATCAATGACATCTAATAGGACGTATCCCTGAGGGGTAGTGATAACTTTCATTCTACTAAGATTGCCTTTTAGGGCGGCCTCGTCTCTTTGTCGAAAACCCAACAAGATATCCTATTGAGGCAACAATGATTCCTCATTAGGATTCAACTGAAATAACCTCTTAAACGAGCAATTAAACGAGCAATGATTCTTCAGTAGAAATCAAGCAAAGTAGCCTAATAATGCAACAACAATTTCTCATTGAGAATCAAGTGAAATATCCTAATAAAGCGTCAACGACTCCTCATAGGTAATCAAACAAAATAGCATATTGAGGCGACACTGATTTCTCATTGGAAATCAAGCAAAATAGCCTGTTGAGGCGATAATGACTCAATGGAAATCAAGCAAGATAACATATTGAGACGACAATAGTTCTTCATTAGGAATCAAGCAAGATACTATTGAGGCGGCAATGACTCCCCGATTGAAAATCAAGCAAGATAGCCTATTAAAATAGCAATGACTCTTTATTGGAAATAAATCAAAATAGCCTATTGAAGCAACAATGACTCCTCCTTAGAAACCAAATAAAATTGTGCAACATATAAATAGTTTATTAGACAAGTTAAAGAAAATAGAATGTCTCATTAAAAACCCATGCCCTACATGAAAAAAGAGTGTCACCCTACTTTGGTTATTTATTGAACAAGTTTTGGAAACACTTACATTGACCGGATGAATTTCATTGCCTTATTTAATCAACAAGAAATAAGTATCTCCTTGTTGCACCCCAAAATTTGACCAATATTAATTTACCTATCAAGTGTTTGAAAGTGGATACCTTCACCAGAAAGTTCAAGAGATCCTCAGAAGAATTGGTTGGAACCAAAGTTGTGTGCTTCATAGCTTGAGAGTTGTGGGTGCTCCTCAGATGATTCTGAGACTTTGAGAATGAACTTGATGCTTTTAGAAAGCCTATGAGATGTCTTGATAGCCATCATGAAGCCCAGAGAAGTCATTGTGCAAGGATTCAGAAGATTCAACCATGAATGGTAGAATTAGGGTTTT